GAGCAGGAGTGTTTGGAATTAGCTGACCCTAGCAACATAGCAAGTGAGCATTATTCCTAAAGTTATGTGCCAACTGGCTGATTCAGTCTTGGTGTCTCTCGTATGTGAGTTTATACCTTTCAGTAGGCATTGCTCTATTAGTTATATTGCTATTTGCTTGTTTATTTAATTATACTGCTCAAACTGTAAAGTCTGTAGTATTTTCATCTTCCAGAAGCTTTGAAATGTATATTGCCAACGTCCTTTCTTATACATGTTTAAATACAGAGCGATCCTGTCACTACATTCCTAAGACTTTCAGCAATAAAACCACTATTTTTGCACCAGTGGTGATCAAATGCTGTATGCACAGTCCTCAGATATTGTGAAACTGAATCCCATTACCAAGGTATTGAAAGTGGTTGCCCCTGGTATCGCTGCTAAACTGGACATGATGCTCCAAATTTTTTGCAGACTGGATTTTCTCAGAATACCTTTGGCTGACGAGATTCCCAGATTTTAACACCATCACATATTTCCCTGCAGGACGTACTAAAGGGAACATTCTACTGTTGGAGATAGTAGCCATTTTGTGCACATTATGTGTAATCACCAGTTTAGAACACTGCGTCTTGTGCATGTATGCTGGAGGTGATCACCACTTTCAGCATCGTATGTGTCAGGATGCAGTTTCACAAGGACTGAGGTGTGTACAAATTCAGTTTTATCACCATTGGTGTATGAATAGTGATTCTGTTGCTATCAAAATGATTGCCTTATATATAAATATAAATCTACTATACATAGTGGCACCCTTAGTGAGTATACAACTAAAGAATGGATGTCGTCACCTGAAAAATTTAATGATTGAGGCATATGTAGCATTTACAGAAAGCAAAAATACTGTTTTCTTTTTAACGTAACAGATAATTCCTAAACATTTTTGTTGGTGTTTTTGTTCGCGATTTATACAGGACACCTCATAATGGTAAGATGTTGAAATCTAGGTTATGATAAGATGGACGTGCGAGTATGACATGGGATACAAAGAACATATTAAAATTTGGAAGTGAAACACCTTGGGAGATGTCCAGTTGGAAGATGAAAGAGTTAGGACAACATTAGGATATATGTTGGGGAGAACGCTTCATACTCAGTGTACTTTGCTATCTGCTTGTGTTGGGTTTCAGTTACAGCCACTCTCCTTTCTGTCTTGTAAGTACAAAGTCTAGGAATTCTAAGACAAGTACCCAGAAGTGTGAGCCATGCTCAACTGGTTTATTGCAAACCTCAATTGTAAATGCACTACAAATTATTTTTTTAACGTTTTTCCACATTTTTTGTTCGTTGACATACACAATTTCAGTCAAGTATAACTTCTTTTTTGGTTCCACTACATTATAAAAAATGCATTATTTCATTTTGTTATAATTTTACACACATAATAATCACCGAGTGCACCATTCTTGTGTCACCAAACATTACATCTTCATCTGTTACCATCATCTGATTTTATCATGACACAAAAGAAATGGGGAAAAGGGAAAGTATGTATGGAAATGCTTTAGAGGGGTCAATGTCAGACAGAGGCAAGAGAGTCGCCTTACCAATCAGTGTCTTTGTTACTTAACAGTATGAGGCAGCAATCACCTAGGCAAGTTAGTGAGGAATTGCATAACCAACAAATTACATACATTCATATCAAATACTGTGAATAAAACAAAGTGAACAGTAAGTTTTCCAGCTGAGCGGGTGACACTGTTTGTAACAATAGTATTATCTTTATACTTGTTTGTTGCAATAGCTTTCAATAATCTAAGTTCTAAATTGCCAGTTGTCCCCATACTGAGATCATTCAGGAAAGTAGACACGTGGCAGGATGCATCCAAATGCATCAGACCATAGTCATTACTAATCTTTTCTCCTTCATTATTGTTTGGGTTATTCCAGTTCGTGAGTGAAATTCCCTGATGATGGGAGCTAGGAAAGGCCGCTCGTTATTCAAATGTTAGCGCAGCAGCCGCATAGCTAACGGAAGAATCGCTCATGCTGCAGCACTGGCTCGACTGCGCATACTTCAGGAATTTGAGGCTCATCTTATGCCCATTGCTGCCAGATTTCTGTAAGCTGTGTACTGCCTGGTAACACAAATTATTTTGGCTTAGATTCTGAGTATAGATAGTAGGCATCACCAATAGTGTTTTGAGGAATAAAAATCTATATTACAGGCATTGTTCATAGTCATGTGTACATTAACATGACTCACTGAATAAATAAACCTAGTTAAAAATATACATGGTCACACCACAGCTCAGGCTGCTACATGCTGGTTTCTCACCACCAAGACCTTGGTTCGATCCCAGGTGACTTCAAGTGAGATTTGTTTAGTCTGGATCAGGTTTTTCTCTGAGTTCTTAATGTTTTCCTGTGGCAATCGTCATTCCATCATTGCTCTGCCCAGATACCCCCAAAAGTTCTGATCCCTTTAAGTTTTCTGACCAAAATTTTGTATGTTTCTCACTAATGTGTAGGTGAAAATGTATAGCAAGTGAAAGGAAACACACTAGAGTGTGCTTCCGATATATTAGCACAGAAAACAGCTAATTATTTACTCTGCTTATTTCAGACTGTTGAGCTGTAATATATATATATATATCTATATCTGAACTATTACCTGCTATATTCGTTTACCTGTAGCAGAACACCAATGGGATGCCTCCCACATATAGTATTTCCAAATTTTTTCAAATATTCGGTAAAGGCTGCAGGGTTCAAAGTTTCGATGATATCCATACCCTGGAACACAGATCATATTACATTAGAAAGATGAATTTCTTTACAACCGAGACAAAGGAATGGTGTCAGTTCAGTTTACGCACCGTGCGATCAAGCGTCTGTATTGACTGGTAGATCTCACCCCAGTTACGGTCGTAATAAGTGTAACGGAAGCGGTGACCCCAGTGACAGAAGTCAGACGAGATAACAAAGAGGTTCTGGGGGTCGGCCAAATAACGCGAGAAGATACGACCATACATGGCCTCCTTCTCGGGGGTCAATGACCCCACCAACACCGGCACAACGGTGAACGAGTCCTTGTAGCTGAAACCGATCAGACACAATTTGTTTTAGCGTGTAAACTCAAGCCATGTAAAACTTGTTTATAACTCGTCAAATTGACTTTCTGTTTAAATAAGCTCCTGAACAACTTGCATCTGTTAACTGTGAACATTGTAAAAAGTGCATAAAATGAACACATAATAAGGAGGTCATGTCTGTTCACACATCAAGATAACATTTTTTCAGTGAGTGAGAGCATCTACACTAAATTTAATTTAAATTTTGTTAGTGTGGTCCACTAAAACCACCAATTTGCATGAAGCTCAAATAAAAATATATCTACTTTCTCTAAAAATTATTCATAATACAAAGAATTATATATATATATATATATATATGAAAGTTGGGATACAAAGTTTTTACATAACATTTGATATGGTATGCATTTAATTAAGCATTATCAAATATAATTTAAACAGTGTAATATGTTTTATAACAGATTCATGAGGCTCAGAAAACTTGGGGTTTCAAGTGATACATATCATAAAGAATACTCCGGTTAGGAAAGCAGTCTAAACTGCTTCAAGAATTTAAACTGAGTAACGTTCCCAATTATTTAATGTCAATTTATACACACTGATTACCGAGTTTTGAGAATAACACATCCTTCATAAGCCACTATGTACCGCAAGAAATCTTCCCTTTTACAATGCCATGTCTTAATATGATTTGAGAGAA